TAGCTAACTGCCTGCTAAGGATGCAGTAAGGTAGTCACATCCTGCAAGTTGGTAAAGTGGTTTTAGGGTTCCATTTAAGTAATTTTTACAATTTTTACAAATGGAGACTGTTAGTTTTTTTTAACAAGGGGCTTGATCTTTTGCTCACTCATTTTATGCACACTGAGATGCCATTGAAAATGAAAGACAATGCACCACAATGCGCATGTAAAGTGTATTTTTGCACTAACACTTGCTTGGTAATGTGTGTGCGCCTTAATAAAACAGCAGGCATTTTAAACTGAAGGATTTTTTTAAGCTGTCTCTCTCTCACACTGTTTCTGGGCAGTTTAAGATTTTTAACTGTACAAAGCCTCGGGCTATAGTTCCTTACATAATTTCACAGTTGGATATTTCAGAGAAGTTGCTTCCCAGACTGTCTCTAAGGGATCAATTATTGTACATTGCCGTTTGTTTGTTTTCATTATTATTATTTTAATTACCAAAGTGCTGGTAATAATTTTTATGATAAAGCAGGCGTGGCCTTGAGTAAACCTAATTAATGTTGCTCAAACAACATGTCGAATAGACTGAAAAAAAAAAAGGACCCAAATTTAAACACCATTAAAGTAAATAGTGTTTAAATTTGGCTGTACTATATATGCCACACTGACTCTGACATATTTTCAGCTGTAGTAATTTGGTCAAGCCAGTAAGTACCGTATGTGTTTGTGTTTTATTTGAATAAAAGATTATTAATTCATAGTGTGTGTATGTGTGTGTTTCAACTTTTAACTTATTGTGGGAAGGGGTAAGGGACATTAATATACATCTGTATTCATTCACCTGTAAGTTGGGTAGATATCTGGTTTCCCCCCTATTATAAAAATGGAGGAGCAAATCTGCCTGGGTTCAGTTGTGGGGGTTCAGTGAATCCTGCTTGAAGTATGCTAAACCTGTGATTATCACTGAGCTCCATTAAAGTCTATGGGGATTTATTCTTGATACTAAATTCTGGTCTGGAAGCTAATAGGCAAAGTAGTGTCAAAAAAAGTTGAGCTGGGCACTGCCATTTAACATTTTTTTTAAATACCGTACAGTGGGGGTTACCTTTAATGCAACCTCATGAGAAAAACACCAATTTCATGCTTGGAAGATGCCATTAGGCTTTAAGAGGTATTACTGAACAATTCTTTTTTTTACAGACAGCAATATTGTATTCCATAAACCACTTCCCATCTCTCTATCCCAAATTATTCCCAAAAAATTCAAAGTATACATTCAGGTATGTATTTTGTAGAAAATGGCTAGCATCAGGGCAATAAGCGGGCTCTTGAATAGATTGCAAATAGAAAGAGACAGGTCAGGCTTTATCTTGCAATAAACATAAAGTGTATCATTTGAGAGAAAATAGCCAAAAATATTGTAGAGTGGTTGGATGGTATGTAAGTACTTTAGCAAGGCCAAAATATAAGAGGGAGAGACAAGGCAGGTTTGGTCTTAAAATAAACATTAGGGCGTATTATTTAAGAGACAATAGCCAAAAATATTGTACAGCCGTTGGACGGTATGTAAGCAGCTTGGTTAGGCAACAATATAAGAGGAATAGATGAAGCAGGTTAGAAAGTGAAAAGGCAAGTTTTATCTCATAGAAAACACTAAAGTGAATATTTGAGAGACAATAGCCACAAATATTTTTGAGTGCTGGGTCATTGAAACAAGCTGCAAACTCTGAGGTACAACACACAATTTTGCCTGCAGAAAACATTACACATTTTGCAGCTGAAGTCTAGCTACAGAAATATTGCATGACACCTTTACAGTGGTGAAGCACTGGAAAAGACTGCAAATGTTGAGGCACAAGGAAGGATTTACATTGCAGCAAATATTAGAAATCTCCCAGTGTATGTCCAGCTGTGAAAACATTGTGAGGTACCTTTAAAGTGCTGGAGCATTGAAGTAGGCCACAAGCTTTGCGGTGCAATTCAGAGCTTATCATGCAGTAAACATAAAAAATTTGTTAGCTGAGGTCCAGCTGTGGAAACATTGTGTGGCACTTTTACAGAGCTGGAGTATGGGAATAGACCAGGAGAGGTGGCAGGTATTTTTTTTGTGGGAGTGGAGGATGATGCTGATATTTTAGTCTGTAGGCAACAGGCAGATCTTCCTCTCCACAAGTGTGAGTATGCCATCCATCCATTGTCATAATGTGCTATATATGTTGCATACTAGCACAATATGACTGACCCGCCCTTGAGCCCAATTTATTTTACTACCGCTTTAGGGGGGCCGTCGTGCAAAAGTGTGATGTCTCCTAAAATCTATATCAGACCCTTAATTCAAGCATATAGCCTGCCCGGTCAGGAAGGGGGGTAGGATGTGCATGTAACCCCCCTCCAGAACCATACAGGCCACAGGCTCTCAACATAGGGGTGTCCATATTAATGAAGACAAGGACCCCTTCCCTACAAGCCTGGCCAGTGGTTGTGGGAGTCTGCAGATAGGGAGCTTAACAGATTCTGGAAGCAAATACTTTGCAAATAATGAGGCCCCCAGATACTGTCTCCACATGAATAAATATGGAGTGCATAGTACTTCTACTCATTCACTCATTCAAAAAAAAATATCACCTAGAAATAAAGACAACCAAGTGTTTAACAAGTTCTTTATTAAAAATATAACACTCCCAAAAAATGCTCCTCATTGTAAATTACCATGACCCCTGCCTACCAATTTGCAAAGAAAAAAATAAACCCCATGACCCGGTGCACACAACTGATCCCGATGGTCCTCATAGCCGAATGACAACTCCCTGAGCTATATAAGGGAAGGGACAGGGATAGTAGTGACAGCATTGACCAAATATACTGTAGCCATGGCACTGCTGTTCCCACCCCTTTGATTACGTGGGCAGGGATTCCTGGTGATATCAAGAGGTTCCTAAGGATGCAGTGGATGCAAGCACCTGCTGCTGCCCAAGCAAACAGTGACAGTGGGATATTGTCAAATATAGCAGTGATAGAAATGGTGCATCATTATATGATTTTCGGGGGCCAAAGAGGCAAAAGTTCAGGCATTCATCTGAACACCTGAAAAGCCAAAGTTAGGTCCAAATCTAGGTTCAGATTGAACACTTGACTAATTCCTACTCTCCAAGACAGAACCTCCTGCTGTGCTGAAGACTCTCTAAGACTGCACACTCGGCAGCAGGGCAAGACCATACTAAGCAAAACATCAAACAGTTGTCCAGCCTACACACTCAACAGTTCATGGGGTCCTCAAAGTCCACATGGAGATAACCAGTCAGTGTACCCCCCCCCCCCCCCATCCCCAGTGTGCACATGGGACCAATAGCTCTTAGTGTTTTGGGCAGATGGCACAGACCCCATGGTGTTCATCCCTTGATACTTAGCAGAGACATCAGCATGACACACAGGGGTCGATTTAAGAATCTGGAGAGTGCAAAATCTGGTGCAGCGGTGCATGGCAGCCAATCAGCTTTTAACTTCAGCTTGTTCAATTAATCTTTGCCAATAAAACCTGGAAGCTGACTGGTTTCTAGGCAGAGTTGCACAAGATTTTGCAATCTCCAGTTTTAGTAAATCAATCCCGCAGTGTGACTGCATTAAAGTGAACATGAAAACTTGATACACAGCTCTATGGCACAGGACTCTTTATCTTATTGATAACAGGGGAGAGCTACAGTGTCGCAAGCGAGTGTGATTAATATTACAAGTAACGCAGTGACTGGGTATCTCAGCACTTTAGCATTGCCTTGTCAGCAGAAGCCTTGAGATCAGCTGATTATTGCTATATGTTTCACCTTACTTACCTGCTGGCTTGTGTCCATCCATCCTGCCATTGCTGTTCCTGCCTGTTCATACGTTCATTGCCGTTTGCTTTCACTGTGTGCTGTTTATCTGAGATTTTCCATGTAATAAATGGATACATAGAGAGCTACATTCATTGTTGACAGGTTGCTTATAAAGACAGATATAAGACTTCTGTGCACAGCATTGGATAAATTTGCGACCCACAAGACTTTCAGGCTGTATGTGCACTTGATTCAGCCTTCAAGCAATATTATATCAACTGGCACTTTTTATTACATTTTAAAATCAGTATTTTTGCTAGAAAATGTCTTGGAAACCCATACATTTTTGCAATATTTTTTAAAGCAGAGGCCCTAGAGAATAAATTGGTGTTTTTTTGCATTTTTATGTCACATGGCAGACTTTTTCAAATGCAATGTTTGGGAAAAAATACACTTTTTAAATTTTATTGCAAAACAGGCAATACATAACCCAATTTCTTGTAAAATATAAAAGATGATGTTATGCTGAGTAAATAGATACCAAACATGTAACACTTTAAAATTGTGACAAATGGCAAAAATGTTACTATACATAGGCAACTCTTTAACCACTAGCCTACAGGGCACTTATACCCCCTTCCTGCCCAGGCCTATTTCCAGCTTTCAGCGCTGTCACACTTTGAATGACAATTGCGCGGTCATGCAACATTGTACCCATATTAAATTTTTATCATTTTTTTGAGACAGATAGAGCTTTCTTTTGGTGGTATTTAATCACCTCTGGGATTTTTATTTTTTCGTAAACAAACCAAAAACCACTGAAAATTTTGAAAAAAAAAGTTTTTTCTTAGTTTTTGTTATACAATTTTGTAAATAAGTGATTATTCTCCTTCACTGATGTGTGCTAATGAAGCTGCAGTGATGGGCACTGATAGGCTGCACTGATGGACACTGATAGGTGGCACTGATGAGGAGGCACTGGTAGGTTGCACTGATGGGCATTGACAGGCATCACTGATGGGCACTGAAAGGCAGCACTGATACATGACACTGATACATGACACTGATATATGGCGCTGATAGGCGGCACTGATAGGCAGCACTGACTGGCGCTGATAGGCGACACTGACTGGCACTGTTAGGCAGCACTGGCTGGCACTGTTAGGCGGCACTGACTGGCACTGATGGGTGGCACTGATTGGCAGCACTGATAGGTGGCACCGATTGGCATTGATAGGTGGCACTGACTGGCACTGATGGGTGACATTGAAAGGCAGCTCAGATGGGCACTGATATGTGGCATTGATGTGCACTGGTATGCACTGATATGTGGTATTGATGTGGCACTGATGGGCACTGGCACGTGGCACTGATGGGCACTGGCACTGATGGGCACTGACAGGTGGCACTTCTGGGGTCACACTGACATCAGGGCACACTGATCATCAGTGCCCTGATGATCAGTGTACATGTCCCCCTCCGCAGAAAGCCAATTACCGGCTCTCCTCTTCTCTCAAGCTGTCAGCGTGACAGCTCGAGAGGAGAGAAATGCCAATAACCGGCATTTCCGTGTTTACATGTGATCAGCTGTGATTGGACACAGCTGATCACATGACCGAGCAGACATCTTCGGCTCTTTCCGTGATACACTGTGTCCGAGGGTAACAGCGGACCGGCGATCGCCACGCTGAGCCGCGCATGCGCAGTGAGAATGGTAGGACGTCATATGACGTCCTATCAGAACGAGAGAACCACCTTGTCATTGTACTATAGGGTGGGCGGAAGGTGGTTAAAAGCCTTTACAGGTTACCACTTTAGCTTTACAGAGGAGGTCTAGATACCTCACATGTGTGGGACGATTGCCGTGCACTTGCCTTTGCACGTGAGCACGGGGGCGGCACTTATATTTTTTTAATTATTTTATTTTTTACATTGTCACTTTTTTTTATCACTTTTATTGCTGTCACAAGGAAAGTAAATATCCCCTGTGACAGCAATAGATACGTGACAGGTATTTTTATCGAGGGATCTGGGTCTATAAGAAACCTGGAATTTCTTTGGTCAGCTCTCCTTTATTGTAAACCAGAAGCGATGACCTGACATCACTTCTGATTTACAAAGAAGCTTTTGGCACCATTTTTAAGAATCTGAAAGCATTCAAAAACACAGATCTTGTTTCGAATGCTTTCAAGTGCAGAGCAGGGATTTGGGGTCTCAAAGATTTTTAAAAAATGTCGCAAAGTTTCTGAGTAAACCAGAAGTGATGTCAGGTCATTGCTTCCAGTTTACAACAAAGGAGAGCCAACCAAAGCCGATTCCAGGTATATTCGGCTGTCTGGCTGGGATTCCCAGTGAGACGGGAGATTGCGAGGGAGCGGCAGAAGGCTGCTGGATGGGGGTATGTCCCCTCCTGCTGTTTCTACAAGCAATCTAGCAGCCGCTCTGAATTGTCCAAAGAGCCGGCTCTACAAATCAGTACTGGGATGATGCCTGCAGCTGCAGGCATCACTCCGGTACAACCACCGAAAGTCCAGTGACATATGGGTACGTCTCTGGTTCGAAAGTGGATATGCAGAGGTTCAGCTGCTTGTTCTAATCTCTGCTCACCTTTAGCTGCTTACATGGTTTATACAGTGTTTAGTATATCTTTCAGGATGTTCCATGATGATATTCTTAGTTGATACATTATTCTATGGCAGTATTTAAACACCTGTTGTTGTGTTTCTCTGAATATGGATCCATATGTGACATTTTAAGGGGATTGACAACCTTGGCATTTTTTTTTTTATTTACACAGTGGGAATTCTTGGTCTGGGGATATCCATCCTGTTTTTAGTGCAATGTGCTTCAATAAACGTTTTGTAATTCTGTAGTTATCTCTTATTACCATTTTCTGGTATTTTTGTTATAAGCTTTTTGGTTTGGGATAAACACATTTGCAAACATTAACTGCATGTTATGATAGTTGCAACACGTGGAGAAAATTTTACAATTTTTGTGCTGTATATCCTCAATTTTAGGAGTGTCCACATCAGCCCAGACCCAATGTAGTCAGTAATGGTGATTTATATGGTGCCTGTGAATGCCGCCTAAAGCTGGGCCTGTCTGCTGTGATTTGAAAAAAATTCCTGAGGCAACCGCCACCAATGCTCCTGTTTTGAGGAATCAGAGGATAAGAGGAACTTTGGCCATGAAAGGGGATCCGATCACCATTAGAAAATGTGTCAAAAACATTCTTACACAGCACCTCTTCAAAGTATCACGTTTTGGGCTCACTCTGGGATGGAGGCATCAGATCAGCCATTTTACCCTTGTATCTGGGATCCAATAGGGTGGCCACTCAATAGCAGCCCCTTATCTTCAAGCCCCAAATCTTGGGGTTTATCTTTACCCAAGCATTTAAGTGTAAAATTACCAATTTACTGCAATTCAATGGCAGTAGAGGACCCCAAATCCATACTATCATGGAGGACAACACTATCCTCAACAATCTCACATTATACTCTTACAACTTCCAAGGTATGGGATGGGTGAAATGTCTCCCTTGGAGCTATCCCCATTTCCTTCTTATGCTCCTCACCAACAGCTTCCCAACCCAACCCTTATCCTCTTCTTCTTCTTCGTATTCCTCCTCTGCTTTCCTGTTCCCTCTGCCTCACATAGATGAAGGCAGTGCACAGAGTATCTGGCCCTGTAACAGAGGTAGGCTTATATAGCACAGCCACTCTGAGATTGAAAAAGCAGATGTCCCTTTCCTCTAAATTGTGCAGGCCAGAAAACTGCACACCAATACTACCTCTGCGTGCATAGTTTCTGCTTCTCCTTTAGGCCTGCCTGATGTTTTAAAGGGGATTTCCAAACTTTAATTGCAGCTATAGCACTAGGAGGAAAAAATATGTGGTGCTTTAGTGCGCAATACTTTACCACACATATTATTTGAACCTAGCAGAACATCATTTTTTTTTTCCATTGAAGTGACAGCAGTGTGTTCATACTCATGTGCCCTGAAAGCTCTTCCAGTACTATCTACTTACTAGCAGAGATGCAGACTTTTCCTGACTTGTAACTCTACTCCTGGTAGTGAAATTAAACATAGGCACTGTAGTCCTTCCTGTATTTTTATCTCAACAAAATTTGGGGCACTCAGTTAAGCATTATCTAACTTGAGAAAAACTCTTCAGAAGTGCACATTCAAACCATGGGCTTGGCTTAGTCAAGGATTCTAACATGTACTGTATATGGGTACATGTAAAGTGGTTGTAAACCTGAGATATAAAATATGAACAAAGCACATCCCTCTATAGTGTGTTTCAATTCAGAGCACTAAGTCTCATTTCTGTCTGCTGCTCCATTCCTCTGCTATCCGTATAAATATCTTCTGACAAGTTTTCCTGACAGAAAATAGTGATGGGGAGGGACCCCCCGCAGATTGACAGCCTCAGCTCTGTTCCTGTGAGATGTGTGGAGGGGGGAAGTGTCTTTTCCCTCCAATCAGCTCTCAGAACTCTCCCAGTTGAACTCTGCAGTGTGTAATTTCAGCTCTCTGCCCCTTTTTTTCTGAACTCTTGGACAAGATTTATAAATTCAGCACTTTGAATGGATATAGAGGAGAGAAGACTACAAATAAGCAGGTACAACAAGGATTTGTTTAATCTCTGTGTATCATCCAAGGCCAGTCCCTTCACTGCGTATTTGTAAGGATTTACAAATACTTTAAGTAAACAGTGATGTGTGTAAAGTATTTGAGTTAAGTTGAGTTAAAACTGGTACCAAGAGCTTCCTATATGTACCTATCTTCCTTCTTAAGCTCCCCAGGAGCCTCTTAAAGTAGGACACTCAATAAACATAAACCTTCAGTCCAATGTCCAAGAACACACCCGATTTCCAATGCGGCTTGCCTCCAAATATGCAGGAGCTACTTGCATGCAGCCAAAATCCCCTCAATTAATACTTCTTTTTAGTTACTCAAATAGGAATGATGCTGTGATCTTGAGACAACATCACTGAGACAGAGGTCCCAAGATATAGGGTTGTCCCGACACACCTGGAACAGTTGGCATCTATTGGTTCCCATTGAATCCATCACAAAGCTGAACCTGAACTTGCTCCCTTATTAAAGGGGCTTCTAAATTCCAACATAAGTCCCACTGTCCTTTTCTACCACCCACCACCTTTTTGAAGCATACACGGGAGGAAGAGGCCCTTGTCTCTTAACCTTGGGTGGAGGGTTCTTCGGAAGGGGGGAAGGCTTTGCCACTCCATCCCAGCAAGCTACCCCCAATAATGAAAGTTAGGTGGGCTGGTATGGTACAGGAAGGGGGTTGCCCTCCTTTTATCCTGAACACCCAAGCTGCATGCTTGGATAAGAGTCTGATCACAATATTAAGGGGAACCCCACACTGTTTATTTTTAATGTTTTGACTACATATCCCCAGCTGTGGGGGATTTCTTTGTCTTTTTGGTGACAATACATTGCCAAATTATGTACCAGATCTGTACATTTAACAAATGTAAACAGACCCCTGCTGACTTTAAAGCGCTGTGTGCGTAATTATACATACATAATTACTGTTATGTGTATATAATTATACATATTGGGTGGCTTTTAGTGAATTTTTTGTGCCGAATTCAGTGTACTTCAGCATCGCAGATGTTCAATTCTCTTTTCAGAATCAAATCTGTGATATTCAGGATGAATTTAGTGTTTTCCCAAACATGAATAACAACCCTAATCCTAAAACAGTCACTTGCAGATTTTACCACGCCTAATTTTTAACCGAAACAATGTTTATAACTTAATGCAATGGGCTAGGCGCAATTATCTGTAATTTTCCAGTGTATTCCTATCCAGCAATGCCTGCTTAGCTAAAATTTCAAATCAGGAAGACAATAACAGAGCTTGCACTGACTATTTCAAGCGGAAATTCACTCTCAATTAACATTGACTCATTTTAATCATTATCTGCTATTAGGTAATAGATAAGAAAGTATATAATATTGTTTTAAACCTTTTTTTGACACTTCTTCAGTTCATTCCTGTTTTCTGGCCCAGGCAAATGATGTCATACAACCCAGGAGTCTTCAGGAGGGGAGAAAGGATTTTCTCAGCTAAGCACACCCTCCTTTCTGCATGCTTGAGCTAAGGGCAGATGGATCCCATTATGTAATTGCTACATGAATCATTTGCCCTTACTAAAATGGATGTGGCTAGAAAAACTAGGAGGTGCTTTTCAAAGTGATTTCTCAGCAAAATAAAGCACGGAGACATGGATGGATGGGTGAGTTTGATTTGAATGTTAAAAATAAATTAAATCCTTTTTGTGTTTGGTTTGTATTAATCAGATACAGTGTAGTTCCACTTTAAATGAATAGAAATGGACAGCAGGTCTGATTGTCGCCTTTTGCTAACTATCATGTTGCAAGCATTGGAAGTAGGTAGGGATTATAGGTAGGTAGCGTTAAAGGATAAGTTCACCTTCCTAAACATGTTACATGTCACAACCATATTTAGGGTGTAATCAGGGGAGGACTGACAACTCATGGGGCCCCCGGGCAATAGGGGATCA